TGGCAAGACTCACTGACGATGCCGGCGAAATATATGAGAACGTAACAACCCCATATTCCGGCGCTGGGTATTACTATTACAGCAAATGACTTCAGACGAGGTGCATCCAACTCAGTCGCCCTGACAATTCTACTAAGTTACGCAAATAAGGTCACTCCATTTCTATACGTCAAAAGGAGACTGTGACCATACCAAACGACACACTACCTTGGTCTTCATATCTTTGGGCTAAAGGGGGCCTGCTTATAATTTTATCAGGTAGATTTCTAAACTGCCAATAGATCTTGAATAAGAGCTGTATTCCCCATAGAAAATATAAGGTGGTAAAGGATTGATGACTGAGATGTTTACCTAATACAATAAATAAGTCTTAATATGTCATTGAAGTTCACTTAGACTTGCCTTACAAAAGAGTAGTGGTCTAGATTTTTCACCAGGCCCGGATTTCATCAGCTCCACCAACAGGATTAAATATCAAAGTCGTAGGTTTCGTGGCCGTTTTACCATTTCACATAACAGCCACGGGTTCAAGTGGGTCGAGCAGATGTGACCTTAAACGCGAACAAGAACCATCAAAAATCATACTTTATAGAAGTGGGTTGAAGTGGGTTGACCTCGTTGTCGCAACTTGGTCTTGTTGTCAGGGCGACTTAGTAGAACGCACCTGGTCCGAAGTCGTCTGCCTTAGTAGTTGTCATGATTCCCAGCATCAGACAGTGGACTTGTTACATTCTCAAACGTTTCGCCGGCATCGTAGTCGGCATCATCAGTAAGCTTTGCCATTCTTTGCACCAAGATACGAACTCGTCAAAGAGACAAGTTCAATTTGTCGACTAAGCAAACGTGCATTTGCCACTTGAATCGACAACGTTACTTGCATCGAAATTTTCCAAATGTATACGGCCCACGAAGACATGGTCTTCTCAACGAGGCTCCGCCAATTCGACCCGGAGTAGGCATACTTAATGTTAGAAAATGTATATACCCTATTTCGTTAAGGGAAAGAGAATACTGGTTGTTACATTTTCACACATTGATGTGAGTAGATCTTATATTTTGGGAAATTTCAACAACCAGCCCTCCCTCACCTTAACGAAACAGGGTGAATACATCTTTTAACATGAAGTATGCCTACTCCGGGTTCACTTAGAGACGTCTCATTCAATAGATCATGTCCTCGATGCCGAGGGTTTTTTTTGGGCCATTCTTGAGGTGAGAAATCCGGAGAGATTGGGCTCTCGGTGACGGACATCATCAGAGCGAGGTAACATCGTCACAACAAAATTCAAGCTATCGAGTCAAGAAAACGAAAGCTTAACATCTTTTCACCGGAATCGAAGGAGATTGCCCCGGAAACAGCGTCAGCATGAATCTTCCAGTAAAGCCAATCGACAGCTGGTCAAGAGGAATCCGCCGTCGTATAGCGTCAGCATGAATCTTCCAGTAAAGCCAATCGACAGCTGGTCAAGAGGAATCCGCCGTCGTCTTCTGGGAACCAACCTTCGAATCTCTTCACCCAACCCTTTCACTCAAAGTGGAAACTGTGACCTGTATTCCTCCATTTATATTGAAATCCATTGCCTTCTGACAGAACTATAGACCCTCATTCTGATGTTGATGGCTCTAAAAAGTTGGGATTTTTTATCATTGCATCTGAGGTTCAAACTTGTTGTTTACTTGTAGGCATGAAAGACAACACGGTCTATACTCAGTTCTGATCGCAGTCTCTTTCAATTTTATAGAATGGGTCTGATCTATTTTTCACAATGTGATCCTGTTGTCAGGGCCACCTAGAACAGAGAAGACTGTAAATTCCACCCACCCTTACCTCCCAAAAGACTTTAGCATTTAAGCTGGACTGCAGATTATACCTCTCCTGAATATTATTAACTCTCAAACGGACTAACAGAGCAAGTGTGTCCTTAAAGGAAACTCAGACATCTCCAAATTCACCTTTATATCTGGAATAGTGTGAATAAAGCTAAGTTGCATCCTCACTTACGTTGGGGACGTGCATACTATGTATAAAGTTATAACTCATGTCACAATATAGTTAATGCTTATAAGATTAGTAGCTTCCCAGTATATACTCACATCGCAAGGTACCAGATCCTTTTCGCAAGCCCAGCCTAAAGCGTTGAAACAGCCGTCCTACAAATGTGTATATTCAAATAAGAATAAGGCTTCTTCACCAGGCGTCCAGAAAGTTGCAAATGTTTGCAAATTATTTGTAAAGGCCGCGCAATCCGGTGTTCAGAGTGGAGTCACCGAAGACAATTTTATGATTAGCATTTAAAGCCAGTGAATGGGAATTTATTTCGGGAGGAACTAAAAGTCATTTGGGTCAATTTTCCAAGCGGCTCAGGGAAATGTCATTGTGATAGTAGCATTTTGTCCAGGTAACAAACATGACAGTGAACTATTCAACAAGCTATAATAAAGAATGTATGGAGAACCATCGAGCTAAATAAGTAGAATAAGAGGTATTTCCTTGGCTGACGGTGATACTTCTTAGGTGTAGAAAAAGCTTTTAGGTCTTAAAGGCTTTGACTAAGAAGATATGTAAATCATTAATAAAATTATTTTATGCTTAGAATTTAAATTTAAATTGTAAGGTTAATACACAGTTATGTCAATAGCCTTTTGATTTCTTATGAATGATTGGGCGAAAGGTTTTGTGAATTAGCACGATTGAGAAATGAAGGAAAGTTTCCTTGTAGTTCTGATCTTTCATTTGAGGAAAGTAGTTTTGAATTTTCGACTTTCCTGCAAAGACCTATATGACCAGCGCGAAAAAAACCTTCTCCGAGAGATCTTGGTTAAATTTCCTAAATCAAGGATTATGGAAGACATAGAATCCTGTCAAATTCTTGCAATCAACTATTAAATTCTGATTTAGGTATCATATGATTTGTTTGGCTACCTCATGCTTCTTCTAACGTACTTGTGATCAAATATGCTTTTTAATATTCGTATCACTTTTACTGTGATCCTGTTAAGTTAGTGAATCTAATTTTGTCTCTGTAGACATATGTTAGACGTGTGTAATTTTCATGAATCAATTCAAATGTTTGACGTCAACTTTTCGTTCGGAACGAAAAGTCTAAAGATATGAA